GAGGACAGAGTGGAACTGCCCACAGGGTCTCCAAGGCTGTCAATCTTCACAGAAGCAAAGCCCAAACCACACCCACTGCCGTGGAGTCCATTCCAACTCACAGCACCCCTAGAGGACAGAGTAGAACTGCCCTACATGGTGTCCAAGGCTGTCAATCTTTACAGAGTGGACAGTCTCATCTTTCTGCCACAGAGCGGCTGGTGGGTCCAAACAACCAACTTTTTGGTTAGCGCTTCACCACCACACCACCAGAGCTCCTGTGGCACACAGTAGTGGTTTAATAGGCATGTTTGAAAAGCTACACATGAACATGTTCATTCCCACCCCCACCGCCCCTTTGCCATGGTTCCAGGCTGCTGCTGCAGAAGGTGCCCAGATGTGGACACAATAGTATGGAGCCGGGCCCCTTGGGGCTGCTGGCACCCAGGCCAGCCACATGCCCAGGAGCACTGTTCACCTGTCACTCTTAGGGCCCTCTGATGCTCTCCGTTGGCATCAGGGATCACAGTCATGGTTTCCCAGCTGTTTCTGCTTCTGGGTCTGCAAGATTAGTGAGCCATTACCAATAACTACAGTAATTTGACCACTGCCGTTTCTCCTCCAGAAATTACATCAACTCCCTGTGCAGGCCTGTCGCTGCCGGGACAGGTGACATGATAATCACTGCCCTGTGGGGAGATGACCTCATGGCTTCCCAACTCCTTATCTCAGGGATAAGCCATCCTTTCGCACTTGACTCAGACTGTGACCACGGCAGCCACGTCTGGCAGTAAATGACATTTGGTGAGTGAGACTTCCTTTTACATAAAGAGATGCTTAGGGAAATAGGATATTTTATAGAAAACCTAGTGAAGAAATACAGTGTGAAAGTATGTTATTTACCTGGGGTTGAGACTTGGACACAGATAAGCAGGAGCTGTATTTTCTGAGTTCCTGAGAAGTGGAGACTCCTCCCAGGAGCCCTGGTGGCTCAGTGCTTAAAGCACCCAGCTGCTAACTGAAAGGTCAGTTCCCATAAAGATTACAGTCTTGGAACCTCTATGGACAGCTCTACTGTGCTCTGTGGGACCACTATGATCCTATAGATTATATAGGGTATACAGCAGC